GTATGATATCAAACATACAACAAGCAGTCCAAAATCGAATGGACTTGCTGAGAGTTCAGTTAAAACTATAAAGAAGTTGTTAAAGAAGTCAAAAGAAAGCTAATGATGATCCATACTTAGCACTTTTATCTTATTGTTTTACGCCAACGGCTGATGAATTACCGTCTCCAGCAGAGAGAATGTTCGAAAGAAAAATTAGAAATCGTTTGCCCTCGTTTAAGCCGTTGCACAGAAATGAGAACTTAACATTAAAGTTGCAACAGAATAAATTGAGGCAGAAGCTATACTATGATAATAGTGCAAAGGACCCATGTAAATTATCTCCTGGATCAACTGTTCGAATTCAACAAGGTGATAAGAAAGAATGGTTAACTAAGTGCAAGGAAGTTTCGAATAAGAGGTTTGCAAGATCGTATGTTGTTGAAACACCTCGAGGGAATCATATTAGAAGAAATAGAAAGGATCTCTTGCCAACGTCAGAAAAATTTGATGTGAAAACGAATGTTGATGTAGACCCAATTCCTATAGTTCCAGTTTTTGAGGAAATACCAACACAATGTGTTGTTGAACAACATTATATAACTAGATCTGGACGTATTAGTAAACCGCCATCGAGGTACTCTACATAGTTTAGAATAATTATATGTATATATATGTACTTAAAGGGACACTCCGGCCTTGAAACAAGTTGCCTTCATATGAAAGACCTTTATGAGTATACCCCGAAATGGTAATTTGTTCGCCTCAATTCTTTTTCCTTAGCGAGATATTTAACTTTGTTTTAACGATTTTCATGTCTGTTGCCACCGCCATGTTTGTTGAAACTGGGGGGGAATACCTTCCCATTTTGAGTGTTGTGACGTATGTGAGTGATAGAAACCAAACGCCATTTATTTAAAGTACAGCGCTTTGCTCTTGCTAGTTTGTTCAGTGTGAAATATTTCTTCAAAATGCCTCATTGCATGGTTCCAGGTTGTACGAATAACTCACGGAATGCAACAGGAGTTAGCTATCATCGAATTCCGAGAGATTCGCGTTTGCGACAAGCATGGATGGCGAGAATTCGCCAAGTGAATCCACGCAATATCGACCATTCATTTGTCTGTTCGGCTCATTTCACGCCTGATTGTTTCGAGGAAACATTAGCAAATCTGATACCCGGTCACCAGCGAAGACCGAGGTTAAAACCTAACTCAGTCCCTTCAATATTTCCCTATTCTAAGCCTGAAACACCACGAACAACAGGTCGAAAGAGGGAGCTGTGAAGGAAAATTTAGCACTCTTGCAATTGTGTTAGTTGTGGAATTGTGTGTTTTAGCTAGTATTTCCTATTCCCAAGCACAATAACAAGCACTGTTTAACAAGTGTATATATAAAGTAATAAGTGGAAAACATTTTTTAAACCCTTGTGATCACCATCACAAATCACCGACTACCCATTTCTATTTTCTTGCGCGCAACAACTGGACTAAATCTATTTAACTACAGTAGCTTAATTAAAATTTTTTCCATAAACTAACACTTATTAGTAATATAAAATACAATGTACAGTTGTAATTTTCTTGTGGTAACCAATGTTACAATACATATTAAAGTGTCCATATTATACAATCTACTGTACATCTGGTATATATACATTTCATTAAATCATCACAATTTTTGTATATTATATGAATGGGTTAAACACATGTTAATATCTGTCATTGTGTGGAAAGCATGTTACTTTCTTTATTTGAAGTTGCTTAAAGACTGCCTGGAACAAGTTTCACCAGTCAGGGGGGAACAATGCCAAACTGAAAGCCCAGCACCTTTCCAAGGCAGTACAAGTATTCCAACAGCCAATGAAACAGTAATGGAGGAAGGTGGCCCATGTGAACTGTTGGTACAGACAAGCATGCCAGTAGTGAAACGTTGTGCTATTCAAACAGAGACTCTAATTCAACCAACATTTGTGAGTGTTGCCACTTAAACCGATGCTCAAAATCAATCAATTTTGGAAAGTGTTGCCACTCAAACTACTAATGATTACCTACCTACTAATGTTACTGATGTTTCTACACATAAAGTTGCTGAAATTGTATCACCTCAGAAAAGCATATGTTCAGAATTAACATGTACCAGTACTGATATAGATTCTGACGATGATATGTATATGCCTGTATCTGCAGAAAGTCAAACTGAAACAGAGGATGAGACCGATGATGAACCGATTAAAAGTCCTGCCAGCCAAAAGAAATTTCTTGTTTTTGAAGAGAATCTTAATGAGCTTTTTCTAATGTGTTCCACCTGTTCCAAACCCACAGCTGAGGTCTCTAAAACACTTGTTGGCAGTATGGTGGTGGTTCACTCATTATGTATTTCTGGTCACCAAAGTAAATGGCAATCACAGCCAATGATTGGCTTAAAATTAGCTGCTGGCAATGTTTTGCTCTCTGGGTCCATTCTTTTCAGTGGTAATTCCTTTCAGAATATCAATTCTTTTGCCCAACGTTTAAATCTAGCATTTATTGGCAAGAGTGTCTTTTACAGCATCCAGAAGGAGTTCCTTATCCCTGTAGTTGATAAGGCTTGGAAAGACCACCAAGATAGCCTGTTAAAGGAAGTGAAAAAATTACCCAAATTAGATATATGTGGTTATGGGAGGTGCGACAGCCCTGGGCATTGTGCAAAATATGGCACCTATACAGTTATGGATGAAAGTACAAACAAAGTGCTTGATTTTGAGGTAGTTCAAGTAACTGAAGTCACATCATCCAATGCAATGGAAGCTGAAGGATGCAACCGGGTCCTCAAAAACCTGAAGAGTAAAGGTGTCAAAGTAAGATGTTTGACAACAGATAGGCATACAACTATCACAGCAGAAATGAGAAAGAAGCATTCTAGCATTGTACACCAATATGATGTCTGGCATATCTCAAAATGGGTTGTTAAAGGACATTGGAAGCATATTTTTTTACTTGTTTTTATTGAAGTTTGATGTTTATCGTTTTTCAAAAACATATTTCGAATATTTCGAAAATATTTCAAATTTCTTCACAGCAGCTATTGAAAGTTCCACCAATTTGATACGTGATCCGCCATCTTGAAACTTGCGAACAAAAACTTATATTTCTGATGTGACGTCACAACTGGGACACTCATCAAACACATGCATTTGCATTGTTTATATTGTTTACATTCGAGATTCGCCAGCTTTTTTAGCACTGTTACTTGACCAGACCTATTAAATAATGGAAATTGAGAAAGAAGTAAGCAACGACATTGAGCCCTACATGTTTGAACCAATGCCAGATGAGAAAATAGACAGCGATAACAGTTCGGAGTCTGACTCTTCGATCGCCAGCGAGGAGGACTTTGACGAGGAATTTGAGGCAATCAATTCGTGGCGCCTTTCCTCAATGGAATGGTGTAAATGTGGGCACTGTAGTTTAATGGGGAAAACTATAGAAAGCTTTTGTTGTTATGAGAAAGCTGTAGAATATGACGAGTATGATGACAAACTTACGTCGGCGCTGAACCAAGGCTTTACTTGTATTACCGAACTATCAGCTTTCCTGCAAAATATCTCAACAGACGTGCTTGAAGGTGATGCTATGCAATATGTCGAAGAGAATTGGCCGTTGCGTAACGAAGAGGTTGCTCGTATGCACAAGCTCTATCGCCTGGTCGGTTACAGAAGATGCTCGCGTTGGATCTTTCACATACTCGGAAAAAAGATTCGAAGGCCATTCCCCTCTTGTTTATATAAATGCATACGAGAAAAGTATTCATCGCCTGACGGGCTTTATACACACTTTAAATATCCAAAACAATAACGGATACGGTTTCAAAGGTAATAGCATGATGGGTCATATATTACATTCTATTTATATTATTGGTTAATACAGGGGCGTAACTGTTGGGGGTGTGGGGGTGTCACACCCCCCCCCCTCAATCGTTGAAAACAGTGTTTTGGTAGGGCAAATTGTTGGGAATTTGCAGTTTGTTTGCTTTGAACAAAATGTTAAAGGTTTTTAAGAGTTAAGGCATTGTATACATTTATGGTCTAGATAAAACGTATCAACTTCGATTAGAACACTGTCCAGTTTTACAAGTACAGTTTGAACCACAATAGTGATCATTTCCTTTGCACAAACATCTTTTCGTAGCACATTTTCCTTTGCACTGGCACATAATTGTTGCATCCTCTTGCTCAGGCAAAGCAGGTTTTGTAAATCTACTGTGTCTGCGTGAGACAACATCCTCTTTCCTTTCACGTGGTTTCCCATTTAGGTATGTTTCCACAAGCGAGTCTGGTTCTTTTGGTAGCACAGCTTTTGCATTTTTTGCAGCAGCTTTAATGGTTGGGTAGTCTTGACGAAGTTTCAGGCATTCAAACTGAATATTCTGTACATATTCTAAGATGAAATTTGATATTTTATTAAAAAATCTATGTTTAATATGAGCAGTACAAAATACATTCTAGTGTATTTAATCTATTTTAACCACTTAAAGTTCTTCTACTCTCAAACTGTTTGATACCAAACAATTCTATTTTAAGGGAAAACCCTTATTAATAGTAAATGCTTACTGTTTGTTGGAAGCTCCTTTATGGGTTTGGCCACCGCCTTTTCTCCTTTATGCGCTTTTGGGTATGCAATTGACCAGCGCATTTCTCCATCCATTCTTTTGGCTTGCTGTCTGTCTGCATTTTCGTTGTAATGCAGGTTGGAACACCATAATCTGTACACAATACAAAAATATTTTAGTGTTTCCAAAATTAAAAATGCATGTAGATATGTAGAGGGCCGCACACAGGGAGGGGGGGCAACAGGGGCAGTTTTATGTTACTATAAATAATCAAAATTATTCTTTGGTTGCTTCAAATATTGCTATTAGTGCTCCACTGCCCGTGTACCCCTCCCCCCTCCTGCTGGTAAAAAATCCTGTATGTGGACCTGGATTTATAATTGAAAGAATTATACCTTGCAATTAGAGAGTGGTATGGATAGTATGTATTCTTTGATGCAAAAACATTATCAAGTGAATGTTTGGCTTCTAAGCCTGAAGTTTGATGATAGTTTGAAAGCTTCCTAACAGCACTAATTAGCCTTGGCCTTGTGATCAACTCAGACAATTTCTTATGAGCTGCTGATCCTATATAATTAGTAAACCACAATTAAGACTTCAGTTGTTATAGCATGATATTAATTAACCCATTAAGCAGCAATTTCTAAATTTACCTTGCTTCAACCACTGCCTTTCCACAACTTCATGAGTGCACTTGACAAAAACCTTGTTTTCCTTATGGATGTGAATATTGACAATATGGTTTGCCAAACTTTCCCACTTTTCTTGCCTTTCATCCTCTGTTTTACTGGAACAGGCCACCCAGTACATATGGTTGATAATGGACTACAATGTACAAAATGATGTAACCACAGGTTAGCCCATTAAGTAACAAGATGTACTAGGATGCATGGTGCCTTCTGGGCTACCAATATAAAAGGGAAAGAGCAAGTACCTAAATTGAGTGGGGTTCTTGAAAATGTTGGAACTTCTATAAATGAAATGTTTCACAAAAGAGGGGGGGTATGTGCTGGTATTTAAAATTGCAAACAATCCAAATTTACCATGTATACTGTAATTACAAATTAGGTTGTCAACCAAATATTACTTTAAATTGCAATTACCCCAATCCAAGGCTTTACCATGCGAACCTTCTTCTTTTTGACAAGTTTCAACAACCTTTTCTTCTCACCTGTGTCAGTTGGGAAGCTCTGCCACTTAATGGATTAACCACAAAATCTGACAATCTATCTAGTTAACCCATTAAGTGGCAATGCACCCCAATGCGCCCTACTTATTTTTATTACTTGTCTAACGCCAGACGATTTTACTCGTCAGTGGGGAAGCTCTGCCACTTAATGGGTTAAAAATATTTATTTTGTGGAAACACCACATAAACTCACCTTTAGCTACGTGCCAAACATCATAGGCATGTTCAATGTTTTTCTTTTCACTCGCTATATAGGCTGAAACTTGGTTATGCCTGTCTGTAACAAGTTTACGAACACGTACATTGGCGTTATCCAGATACAACAGCTGTCTTTTGAGGGACTCAAGTTCCATGGTGTTTGAGTTCTTAACTTCTGTGCTCTAAAAAGAGAAACTGATCGTTTCACTTTCAGTCGATGACATCCTTAATTGAAATAGCTGTATTCTGAAATCTGAAAAAGGAGATATACAATACCTTGATAATCTGTGTGTCCAGTATGACATTCTTCTCTACGTCCAAAGAGCTTCCAGACCCAAACAAGCCACAATGCCCTGGGCTGTCTATGCGCATATCAGATGCTATAACACAAGATGTGCCTTGAACCTCACGAACTAAACGATCTTTCTCCCGATTCCAAACATTGAAAACAGCAGGTATGGCATACACCGACTGTAGAGAAGAGAACTCCCAACGCGTGATTGACTTTATTTGCAGGCAATCGAAAAAGCGCAGGACTTTGGCAACCTCAAGACCACAAGATAAAATACCAGCGGTAATCATTAGGTGAAAAACTGGCAGTCTGTTGTGTAGTGGCTAATATTATTCAAACAGATCACGGAAATTCGGCTGAATGTTCCGATGGTACTTTCAAGGGTTATAACACAGTTTGAGCCACATTTGAAACAACGCTCGAAACATCTGACGATCGATTCTTCGAACACTATAAACTTCCTTTGTTCTTGGTGGGATTTTTTACTTGATAGAATGACTTTTTCTTCATTTTCTTCGTCTTGTAACATAAGCTGAGATTCTTCATCACTGTGTTCGGATTCATCATGGAGAATGTCCTTGGTAAAGTCGTAAACTTTATCATGCCTATCGTCTATAGAAGTAATGTCTATTGGGTCAGACATTGTCACTGCTAATGGCACTTGGTTATTTGATGGCAATGGATGAGAGTCTTCTATAAAATCAGGGTCAACGAAGGGACTTGTTTGTGTTCCAGTAGATGCGGAAGTGGAAGTCGCAGGTGTTTTTATACCAAGTAGATGCTCTGAAAGAGTCTTGCTATTCAAGAAAGTTTGTGTTGCAACAGACTTAGCTTCCTTCTTGTTTATATTGCATTTGCAAGGCTGATTTACTTGGGTTGATTTATTTCTTACCGGCAAACCCATATCTCTCAACATAGCAAAACTGTCCTGGCTTGATACGAGAACGCCAACGCTCGAAACATGCTCGTCTGCATTGTTGGTCTCAAAACTTTCCGTATCCACTTCTTCTGCAACTTCTTCAACATATTCTTTCATAATCGCGTGAATGTCCTATTTTATAATGTAGACAAAGCAAATAAAAATATGCAAGTTCAAATGCGTTTTATTTCCATATTTCAATTCCAACAACCAATTAATTGTTTACGATATTGCTAGAAGTACCTTTTTTCTAGAAAGTGCTCCAATCGGGTGAAATTTAATCGCGTTGCTTTCTTCTTCGGTGTCGGTAATATTTATGGTTGGTAAAGCATCGTCCTTTAGCTTGGCTTTCCTTTTGCCAGGAAAACTGATGGAATTGAGAAACTGAGGCGAGTTTGATGGCACGTATGCATCTTCTGCGAAATGATTTGAGCAGATAGTCGAGTTTTTTGTTGGGTTAAACTGCTTTCTTTTGCAGAACTCGATCCAAGTTTTCTTTCTCCTTTTTTCATTTTGACCTTTGTTGGCATTAGGGAAGGAGAAGAAATGTAGCGATTTATCTTGGTTGTTTTTGCTATTGCTATTGCATCCATATACAGAACAGTACATGTTACTTTATTTACAATAGTATTTACAATAAACTTTGTTTGTGAAGAAATCCCAGTTGTGACGTCACATGCATAAATTAACATATCACATTATATTCAAAATAAAACAAAATGGCAGATGATTCTTCTTTAGCTCCTCAAAAGAAATTGATTTTATTGATTTTAAGACGAAAACATCAAGAGAATTAACAGTAGTTTTTCTCTCTTTTAACAGGTATTATCTTTTCAAAAATCATAAATTTAAATATACTTCCAATGTCCTTTAAAAAACTATCAAAGAAGAGTAAGAAGAGTTTCAGGAATTGTCAATATGGATCCAGTCTGTTTCTTCTCATTTTTGGTGGAGTGTAGCAACATGTGATGGTAACTATGACATTCTAGTTGAGAAATGGACGTCAATTGTCAATCACATTGCAAATAAGCACTCATGGAGAGGTGCAAAACATTTTAAAAAATGTGCTCACCACAAACTGTCTAGAAGGGAGATTAAGGAGAAGGTTTGGTTAAAACCTGGCACTGCAGCTCATGTAGCCCTTGAGGAGGTGGTTTTCAACAAAAAGTTGCTGAAAGATCTCAAGTTGGTTACCGAGTTTCACCACACTGGAAACCTTGAGGTATACCATTCCATGATGCTGAAGTACTGTTCTAAAAGACAGCACTTTGGGCATGATGGAATGATTGCTCGCACACAGCTTGCTGCCCTTGTTGATAATAATCACAATTGTTCTAGAAAGCAAGCTGTGGTAAAGCAAGGATCATATCAAGGCAGTCTTCGCTACAATTTAGTTTTCCCCAAAGTCTGCAAAACATGGGTAGTCAAGCCAGTCATGGAGGAAAAAGAGTACAAGTATCTTGATGAACTAATGGAAAATGTCCTGGAATGTAGAAGACCAAAGAGGAAAACCTCAAAAGGAAAAAAATCACAAAAAAGTAAAAAATCAAAGAAAAATCAGAAATCAAAGAACATTGCAACCAAGGAAAAACCAGACAAGAAAATGGCAATTAAGGAACATATTAGCAGGTTTCAGCAAAAATAACTAAACTATCTGTATTACAGGGAAATGTATCCTTGCAACACAGGCAATACTGGACTAATTACTTTGTTAAATACTAGATGATTTTACTTGTCAATTTGATGCCTGGTTGCTTTAATGTTGCACAATTTTCCCTGTGTAATGCCAGATGATTTTACTTGTCAGTGAAATGCCTGGTTTGCATCCTACTTTGAGCCAGTTACTTGAACTTGGTCAAATGTTGGACAATTTATTCTGTCTAATACCAGATGGTCTTACTTATCAATGAAATGCCTTATTGCATTAATTTCAAAGACTTACAACTATTCAGTCCTCTTCATATGATGGTGGTCTAAAACCAACAAAGGAATGTTCATCCTCTGGTCCAGGTGGCGGGAAATGGGCTCGAATGCAACTTACACCACAAGATGGCAGCACTACTCTCACATGCCTACCAAGAACCCCCCAACCTAGTCGTGCCAGTTGCCAATAAGCAACATGTCTATATCTTTGATGCTCAGGGCCTTCAAATGGATTTTCATACTGCTGCTTGTACTGATACCATGCTGTCCTGAGTACCCAGTGATTCAAACAGACAGCAGCAAATGCTGGATTGTCTGTTATACATGTCAGGGGCTGTTTTAATTTCTCAAAAGTTACAGCTTCTTCTTTGAGACTTAACATTTCAGGAATTTCCTGACAGCAAACACTTTCCTCAGCTCTATCCATGATTTGACAATGACCACATTTACACCTTACATAAGAAAGTAATTAAATTTATATAGTCTATATTTACCGTTTGAGAAAAATTAAAATTCCGCTCTAGAAAAATACAACACGTTATATTGAACAAATCGAAACATGACTTAAACTTACCATTCTAAATCATTTAGGCGATTCTCGCCATTTGAAGAATCAGATTCTTCCTGGTCATCGCTCTCGTTCTCATCGCTGTTTTCCTCCGAGCTTGGCAGATTTCTCGTTGGTTCGAATAAATATGGCTGAAGCGAATACTCTGCCTCGTCATCTTCAATCTTAATATCAGGCTGTTCACAAGATGCAAAATCTCCATCAGCGTCGGAAGAGCTACTAGAACTTGATTGTGACATTGTCGTAAAAGTTAAAAATCGAAATAGCACTCGAAATTGGAAAAATTTGGGAAAATATTAGTCGACAACTGTTCTCGTTATATTTCAATAGTTTTCTATCACTCACTGACGTCACAGTTCTCAACAAACATGGCGGCGGCAACAGTTGAATATCTCGCTAAAGAAAAAGAATTGAGGCGAACGAATTACCATTTCGGTGGTATACTCATAAAGGTCTTTCATATGAAGGCGACTTGTTTCAAGGCCGGAGTGTCCCTTTAATATAGAAACTAAATGTGTATAGCAAGATTGTAATTATAGTTTAGTAATTAACTTTAAAGCATATAATACCATCTTGGGATTCAGACAAGCGATAACACTGTCCCTTGTGGGTGGTAAAAAGTTCTATGCCTCGAAGAGTAAGAGCATTACTCTTACTCCATGAATAAAAAAAAACTCCATGATTTTGGCTGGTCTTTGAAAATTTTGTCAATTGCAGTGCAAAATGACATAATTGTGTGAAACTCTCTCAGTCTCACAACAACACGCTCGTTAAATTTGACTTCTTTCCATCTCAGCATCTGCACCTTTGCATAAATTGTCGAATACAACAACATTTCTGGAATTTGCTTACATTGACAAATAGAAACTCTCTTCTTCAAAATTGCGTTGATTGTAGCCAAATCTGTTGCAGGGTTGTCAATTACTGGAAGATAGCCAATGTCTGATAATGCTGAAATCTCTCAGACTAGCTTGAACCCTGTCCATCCAGGAACAACGCATCCAATATCGGTTGAGAATATTCGAGATTTCTGCCTGGGATTTGAAGGAAATTGTCATTCTGAATCTCGAAATCGTCACCAGAAATATGCTGCCTTAACGACGGAAGACCTTTCTTCACACTGAAATACGGTTCAATATCGGTTGCAGGAGCCTTTATTGTACGGACATTTTTACTTACGGTTAATTTGTTGTGATGTGAAGGTGTTCCCTTTTAGATAATGATTCCATTTACAACATGCGTTGTACCTTGCCTGTCACTGTCTCTTCACGGAAATCATTATTATCACATACACACCAACATACGCATTTCGTGGTATGGTCACAGAGTCAGACGTCTGAGGTGTAGCCAATGCAGAATCATGTGTACTTACAGTGTCGGATGAAACAGTGTGTCCAAGTCCATACAAGATATCGATCAGCTTTCTTGATCCAGTTTACTGGCAAACAGTCATGCCAAGCGCCAATGCTTTGTGAGTTTGTTTGCATATTGAAGTAACTTTGCAGCTTTGATCATGCGGTATGTTAACTTTATTTTGCAACTCTGGTTCATCAGAAAATCCAACAATCCATGCAATAAATTTAAATAATTGGTGAGGTATGGATTGAAGTGCATTTACAAGACTCAAATTGGTAGCATCAGGAGGCCAATCTGTCACACAACTGTCAATATTCCTCTCACTTCCATTGCGACATTGAACACTTGACGTGCTTCCATATCTTTCGTATTTTTACCCACCTTGTTGTAACAGTCATTGTTTTCATCATCGTCGCTGTCAGTTTGATTAATTTCCATGGCATCATCTGCTATTTCTCCTACAAAAAGGTCAGCTGAATACACTAGTGTTCCTATGTTTCTGCTTTTAGATGCATCAAACACTATTGATTTGGAATAGCACAATTAAATTATTTTCTTTAATTGTGACAATTGGTAGGGGACATTACCATCTGAATGAACATCAATTTGAATCACAGCTTCTTTGAACTTTTTACAAATATTACTCAACAGGAGTATTTCCTTACTGTCTATAATTCTGCTATCTATTACGTCAGTACAAATAACATCAAATGCCTTGTCGTAGACTGAAGCTCCTAAATTTGTCTTCGCCTTGTCCTTACTTGAAACATTCTTTGTATATTTGTAATAACATTTTCGATGATACCTTACTTCTATAGCAACACAGTCCTGCCCACATATGTGCACCAAAATGATCTCTTCATTTTGACCAAAATGATCTCATCATTTTTTACTTCTGCTGCCGTTAGAAGATGTCCAGCGGTAATTGTCTGTGCAAGTGAAAGGCTCTGTTTCATCCTTTTCCTCTTATTCTACAAGTAGACAAAGTAGTTGGTATATGCCAGGAGTGTTGAGGAGATTGCTCGGGAAACGCCCGAGAAACCGGGGGGAAACGGCCAAATGGGAAGGTAACCAAATTTTTTCGGAACGTGCGATTCTTTAAATTAAATGTGTAGAAATTTTTCCGGACATTCCATTTTTGAAATTGAATGTGCAAAAATTTTTCGGAACATACCAATTTTTAAATTGATACGTGTAAAAATATTTCTGATATTTCCGTTCATGGACCGAGCCCCCTTTTTTCCTCCTTTGGGCCCCCTTTTACCCTATTTTCATCACCTCCTCGACGACACTGGCATATGGTATTAAAAACGCACATGCAATTCATTGAATAGTATACTTAGACCCTGTTTACACTAGAACGAAAGTTTCCGGATTTGTAAAATTATCCGGATTCATTGTTACACACATGTATCGGATTCGTCAGGTGTTTACACTACACTTTAGTTGTCTCTGTATGCGGATTTGTCCGTTTACACTCACATTACTTGTTCTTGGAGAATTGTTTGGTCGTCACGTTTTTCTAACAACCAAAATGACATTACAGAAATTCATTCCTCTAAATAATTATATGCTAAAATATAATAAACTTTTAATTCCAACAATCACTTGAAAAATAAGAATAACTATGTCTATAACCAAATTATTCGACCAAAAAATCATTTTTGAAATATGACGTAATGTCAGTTTGGTGGATAGAAAATTATTCGAACACGCGATCGACTCATCGACAGGCCAAGCATCAAAATATGCCTCCGAAAAAGAAAGTTAGAACTCAATCTGTCGGCGATAAAAACGAACAGCAAAACAATTTGATTTGGTGTGATGATGAAGTTGAGATTCTTCTCGGTGTTGTGCAAGCATATGCTTCGGGAAAAGAATTCGAAGGCGTTGAATGGGAGAGTGTTAAGAGCAAGTACGAAGACATCAGATTAGCATTCGTTAGCCTCTATGATCAGAAAGAGCTTAAAGAACATGATACCAATTTACTTACACGAGAAAGAATTGCTAGCAAAGTCAAGGACGTGAGAAAGAAATATAAAAAAGCTGTAGACTCGGGAAGGCGAAGCGGTGGTGGCCGAACAGTGGCAACTTTCTACAACATTTGCAACAGTATTTGGAGTGGAAGCCCAGCCACAACAAGTCTGGAACATGGAGTTGACAGTACTGAAGGTTTTAAAGCTGAACCTAGTTGTGGTGGTGAGAAAGGTGCTGATGGGCAGATCTCTTTACAAGATTTGAAGTCACCTGTGGACAAACAAGTTGCAGAACAACAGTTGATGGGTGGGCAAGAACATATTTCTCTTCAAGAAACTTCTAAAAATTATATTGATGCAAATGATGAAATTCAAGTTGAAGAGGCAAATGTTAATAGTTCTGGCAGGAAAAGTTTCATTGAACACATTAAAGACAAACGTAACTCAAAGTTGTCTAAAACAAAATCTAATGAAAACCAGCAGCTAGCAGTAATGAAAGAGGACTTAGCATTGAAAAAAACTATGATGACAGAAATGAAGAAAATGGATGAAGAGCATAATAAAACTTTGAACAAGTTTGCCAACACCATGGAGAATCTTAGTCAAGCTGTACTGACTGCCCTTGTTAGTAGGCAAGTCATAAATCCATTGCAGAACCAGCTATTGCAACACCAGCCATTGCAGCATCAGCCTTTGCAACACCAGTCCTTGCACACCAGTATATACACAACATTGGAAAGCCGGCCATAGGTATGCAACCACAGGAAAGGCATGCAAGTGAAAGCACTGTTATGCAACCACATGGAAGCAGAGCAAGTGAAAGTACATCACAACAATCTAATGTTTTTGGTGCTACTAATTCTGTATATAGCATTGCCGAGGATGAGGAAGACTATACTTTTACATAATTTCTTGGCTAAAACAAATTCAGTGAGCAAGGGATTTTATGTTAAAAATGTTAAGGAATAGTTTTATTCACATTTTGTTATATTTATTTTGGGTTAAAAACAAATGTTAGTCATAACAGTTTCACATTTTATGTAAGGATACATAATTTCTTTACATAATTTCTTAGCTAAAACAAATTTAGTGAGCAAGGGATTTTATGTTAAAAATGTTAAGGAATAGTTTTATTCACATTTTTGTTATATTTATTTTGGGTTAAAAACAAATGTTAGTCATAACAGTTTCACATTTTATGTAAGGATACATAATTTCTTTACATAATTTCTTAGCTAAAACAAATTTAGTGAGCAAGGGATTTTATGTTAAAAATGTTAAGGAATAGTTTTATTCACATTTTGTTATATTTATTTTGGGTTAAAAACAAATGTTAGTCATAGCATTTATGTTTAAAGAAATTGAAAGTGTAATAATTAAAGTTATTCATATTAACATTTGCTGCTTAAATTGGCATGATGATGAATTTAACATTTAACAAACTATGCCACCATATGAAAACATATGCATGGCACCTTTAACCACAACAAAAATTCTCTGATATGTATTCTTTTTGTGCCTGGTTGTGAACATTTTACCAGTTTGAATGTTAAACAAATCATTTCAACCAAAGGGATTCTTTGTTAATGCTCAAATGCAAAGGATGAAAAACTGATTTTTTCACAATAAAAATGTGAATTAAGGTTTAACTTTGTCATGATATTTATTAAGCCACAAAGCTATACCTGAGCATTGGATATAAGGGCATTGAGAATATAAACAACATTGAAAGAGGCAATTAAGATAAAATTTAGGAATACTTTTAATGATATGATGGGGGGGGGGGGGCAGTAATCCAGTAAAAAACTTGTAAAGACAGCTAATGCAACTAATCAGCACACTTAGTATTCATTAATTGTGATATAATGGATGATGAAAAACAGTAAGATTTAGGACTTGCATTGTCC